GAATCTACAAGGGAATTCGAGCATCCATCACCTGTATCTGTTCTGGCAAGTGGACTAGTGTCGGTGGTCCCCTTCATAGCAACTCAGCTGGAGGCGAAATACAGTTTGACCTAGGTGAAGTGGTGCCCTCGACAAATGTGCCAAATGTTAGATCTTAACATCAATCTTTCTTTTCTTAGTCACATGCCCTGGACCCTTCTTTTTAAGTGGATGGATAGGGCCTTCAGAAATCTTCTTACTATCTCTATCATGTTGCTCCACCTAATCTGTCAGGCATAAATAAGTAATCAAAGAGGGATAAGAGAGACTCTTTTTACCTTCTAAGACAACCTCCAGAATGTATTGCATAATGATCTACCCAACATTAATAGGAATCCCCTCCATGATGTCACAAATCAACAGTGCCCTATCAAGAGACAAATTGATCTCATTCCTCAAAGGAATCACCCTACTACAGATGATTGAAAGCCAAGTCTTTGCTTCATCTGTAAACTCTGAGGAGTCGATCCAGTGGTTTTTCTCAATCCATTTAGGCCTATGTCCACCATGAAAGTGTGTCACAAACCACTATTTTCCCGCTTCCATTTCCCTCGCCCTGTGAACTTCATTATCGGCATCGGGAAGACCATAGTAATTATTGATCCCTATGGGGTCAAAACAAACTATTTTTACCTGTACCATAACTACCAACTCAGAAACTTTGAAAAAAAATTGTTACTTTTTTCTTGTTATTGATAGAGTGGTATTCTCTGTCCCTGTCATATAAAGTAGAGGGGGAGGAATGGAAGAGAGAAGGAATAAGAGCAAAGGATTGACAAGTCTAATGGGAAAGAATGGCTGACACGTTGACTGTTTTGATAGATGGAAAAAAGTCACCAAATAAGTTGATTTCAGCGTCATTGGCATAGAACTCTCGAACCACCGTGTAGTTAACATTGATAGGCTCATCCGTAAAACACAATCCATTCTCTGGCCTTGAATCGCCTATAGAAGTCTGGAATGTGCTCTCAAAGATTATTCAAGAAAAGACCCCTCTCCCTAGTGATATTCTTTGTAAGGAGGCGGTCATGCAATTTGTGGCATTTGGCAGAGAGAAACCACTCATGATCAAAGATTTCATCCCCCATAACATCTTCTTCCATATGTCCTTCCACTAGGTTGACGTTGTTGGCCATTACTTTGCAAGTAGAGTACCTATACAAGATACACACATGTCAAACAAAAGCAAAGATACTTAAAGCAAAATATTATCAAGCAATTAGGCAAAAGAAATGAGTGAAAAAGGAATCGGGGGAACGGGGGTCAAGTTAATGTTTTTGGCAGTAATTTATGGCATGCATGAGACTCATCGCGATCATGAGATTTCTCAACACGATTGCGAGCCTCCACCTTTTATCTCTTTGTGATCGTGGGATTAGACATTGCGATCGCGGAGAATAGATTATCCCGCAGAAAATAACTCTCTCTTTGGCATTTCCCGGAGGAGAATTGGCCATTCAATCTTGTGAACTAATCGAGACCGAAATTGGAAAAAGAGATACGAACGGAGAGGAATAACCAATCGATGAAAGAACATGAAACCATTCTGTTTCAATATCGAACACCCATTTTTCCCATTATCAGCTAACACCCAAACTACATCAAAAAGCAACCAAACAACTTCACCAATTTAATTTCCAAAACCATTCATGATTAAAAAAATATATATAGGGCAAGAATCAACCCTTTTTGCAAACAAATTACCAATTTTAAAACATTGATCAAGGAAAGGAGGAGAAGTCATACTTAAGTGAAGAACAAAAGTTTGAAGGGAATTCTTGCCAAAGATGTGCAGAGCAATTGATTTTAGAGAGAGGAAAGTTTTGGGGGCATTTTCGAGCTTTTTAGGTACAGTGATCTTGAATTTAAACTACTAATTTTTTTAAATTCACGCGAGTCATCATGGTCGCGACCTCGCTCCTCGAGATTGCGACAACAAGCTTTTTTTACCTGTCATGAATGCGGCCTATGGCTCACGTGATTTCGACACCCAGATTTTGATGCATCGCAATCGCAGCGATTAGCTCTTGCAATTGCGATGAACACTTTGATGATAGACTTGCTGAAGCTACTGTTCATTTGGAAGATGGCAAGGTAGAAAGGGTGATCAGCCCAATCATTTTGGGTGAACCTGAATGTGCCAAAAGTGTTCCATCTCCTATTTTGAAGGTGTTTTCACCCCAAACTTCAACCCTAATAAATTTTACACATTCAAACCTATTCAAAACATCACCACAAACTTTGGAATCATGAGGGTTAGTCAAAGACAAAAATCGTAAGCTATTCTAAAAATTAAAAACTTGAAATTAAACTATGAACTACATTTACTTGGATACCGATGGATTGCCTCCCATCAAGGGGCCAATTTAACATCACAGTGCGACACCAAGTACATCACCCTTTGTGTTACCATTTGAGGCAATGAGCTTTTTCCTCAACTTTGGATTAATTTCTCTCCGAAGAGCATGGGGAGTACATGAGAGAATCAAGCATTGCCTCCGATCTCTCAACTTTGAAGGCTTGAATATTTTACCCAACTTCGCATCATTCTTCCATTTTTGAACCTTGGGAAAGAGTAAGAATGAGAGAGTAACTAGGTCAGTGAAGCATTTATATTCAAGATTGTTGGCCCTGAATTAAGTGACACTCTCGATTCCACATAAACTAAAGTTGTCAATAATAATATTTTGGCTTTTTCTTACAACTTTAGTAGCATTTCATTTATTCTGGCTTCTTGGATTATTATTCTTTTGGATTGGTTGAAAATGCGCAAGATATCCTCAATGTCCACCACAACCACTTATCCTCTCATATTAGCTTCCAAGGTTGCGATCTCAAACTGAAATCAGACCATCTCATAGAACCTAACTAGGTGCAAGTCATGAGACTCCTCTTCACACTTTCCATCTATAGGATAAGGAGTAGTATGTACCTCCTCTCTTGTTCCCACCATGGACCTAAGAGTTATGAGTTCAAACTCGAAGTTGATTGCCTCATGCCACTGATTTAGGTGCATGGTGAGAAGTTTTTTCTTTTCTTGGCAAAGTTGGTGTAGGGCCATTTTTCCCAATAGAGATTTTCATCCATGATCCTAAGCCTAAATTGGCTTATCATATTCATTTCACAACAAGGCCATGGGTCGATATAGGGTATACCACTCCCAAACATTTGATATTCACAAAATTCCATAAAAACATAATAAAAAAGTAAATACAACTAATCACAATCTAGATTGAAACAGGTAAACTATAAATTCTAAATCAATTCAATATGCCTAATTATTCCCCGATGGTGGTGCCATTTTTTAACACACAAATTACCCTAAAAATAAGTTAAAAAACATAAGCTATCGTCGACAAGAAAAATATCCAACTAAGCATTGGGGTCGAATCCCACAGAGAACAATTTGTCGACAATTGAAAAGACAAATAATGAATAGTTACAAGTTTTAATCTAAACATATAATATATAAGGTTATCAAATAAAGAGATATTTCGATAACCAAACTATGGTTTTGGGTAAAGACACTATCAAGCACGGGATATACGAGAATTGGGAAATTTGGAATTCAATCCACACTCAATGATCCATTGTAATTCAACAATGCTAACTCAATCATAGATAGGCAAGATCCTCATTAGTAAAAACTAATCTCCTTTCAGTCTCAATGTATTATATCATAATATCTCCTTTCGGTCTCAATCGTAATCAACAACCAAGAAATCTAAGACCTTAGTCTAAACCCCTATTTCTAGTAAGTTTAGCATTCAACAAAGTAGACCTAAATTATCTAATTTCGGTCTCAAACTTAGGACTCAAAGCCAAATATGATTATTAACCTGATTCTCCACTCCACAAATTCTCTTTACGGCAACCCACAAAGATTGAAAGCTACATCTGAGCGTGCACTTTCAAATCATAAATTTAAATATGAAAAATAGATTAAACTTATATCATGAAATTAAGTATGGAATCAATGATTCACAAAAGAAATAGAATAATGAATCAAATACCCAAATAGTTTTGTCTATTTCTAGCACAAAGCCCCAATTCCATACACACAGTTACACCCACAATTCTAGCAATGTAAACCAAGTAAATGAAGAAGGGGAACAATAGATTTTACTATTAAGAACATAACCTTCAAACCCAAATATGAATTATGAGGCAACTTTCCCTCAAAGTCTCAACCCCAAATATGAACTACCAAGTAGGGTTCTTCCTTAGTCCAAGCTAACAAATGAACTCTATCCTAAAATTCTGATCTATGGAATCTGAATTGAACAATGGTTGTTGATGAGTGTTAAAAAGTTTTTTGGGATTAATTTGGTGAAATTCCCAATTCGTCCAGGTGCCAAATGTTTTCTCTTCACAGTCGCGACAACTAACTCTCGCATTCGCGATGAGTAGAGTCGTTAGGTCACGCAATCGCGACATCTTATCATGAAAAATGTCTTGGCCAATGTGATCGTGACCCCTATTTTACATGGTTGCAATGAGTACTTCAACTGCCAACTCAACTTTCTTCCTTTTGACCTCTTCTTGCCTCAATTCCACTTGGTTTCTTCAAATGTCATCTAAATCAACTCTCTAATTCATGTTACTACAAATATGAAGAAAACCACATTAAAAGGACCAATTTTAAACTAAAGCAAGCCAAAATAACTATGAAAAGATCCTCAAATGAGTGAAAATTAACCACTCATCATTCCTCTTCCCGCGCGTGTCTAGCTTGGATTGCTAATAACTATTGGATTAGTGAGTCCTCATACTCTGAGGGCAAAGCTGTGAAGACCATTTATTGCTTTTAGTGTTTACTCTTGAGATTTTGTATGTGGTGTTTGGGTTACATCTCAGCCACTCTTATGTTATTTAAAATGGTTTGTCAAGACATAATTACCTTTCCATATTTATGTTCAACCCTCTTTTATAATATGATCCACCTTACTTAAACCAAACCAATGTGTGAGTTTTGGTTGAGGTTTATTGCTTTTCTTGGCCATATTGTCTCCGGTGAAGGTATTCATGTTGATCCTAAGAGGACTGAGGTGATTAAGAATGGGCCTAGACCTTTGTCCGCTTTAGACATACGATGTTTCTTGGGTTTGGCCGTTTATTATACAAGGTTTGTGGAAGGATATTCCTTTATTGCTTTGCCTTTGACGACATTGACTCAAAAGAAGGTGAAATTCCTATGGTCGGAAGTTTGTGAGAAAAGTTTCCAAGAGTTGAAGGATAGAGTCACTTCAACCCCAATATTGACATTACCGAAATGTTTAGATGGTTTTGTGGTTTATTGGGATGCTTCACGGATTGGTCTTGGTTGTGTTTTATGCTTATGCTTAAAGGAAATTAAAGGTGCATGAAAATAATTGGTCGACTCATGATTTGAAGTTAGCGGCAGTAGTGTTTGCCTTAAATATTTAGAGGCATTACCTATATGGTGTTCATGTAGATGTGTTTACGACCACAAGGGCTTGAAATATCTGTTTACCCAAAAGGACTTAAATCCTCGCCAAAGAAGGTCACTTGAGTTATTGAAAGATTACGACATGAGTGTCCTCTATCATCCTAGTAAAGCAAATATGGTGGCAGATGCTCTTAGGCGACTATCAATGGGAAGTGTTGCTCATGTTGATGATGGTAAGAAAGAGCTAGTTTGGGATGTTCATAGATTGGCCCGATTGGGTGTTCGTTTAGCTGATTCTAATAAGGGTGGTGTGATTGTTCAAAATGGCTCAGAATCATCTCTTATATCATATGTAAGGGCTAAGCAAGATATTGATCCAGTTATGATCAATTTGAAGAAGTCAATTTCTGAAAAAACCATTAAGGCTTTCTCCTAAGGGGGAAATGGTGTCCTTCAATACCAAGGCCATTTATGTGTTTCAAATGTTGATGAGTTGAGGAATAAGATTTTGCATAAACCCACAGTTCTCTCTCGATATTCTATTCACTTGGGAGCCACCAAGATGTACCGTGATTTGTAGGAAGTCTATTGGTGGAATTTGATGAAGAAAGATACTGCGAAATTTGTGGTTGAATGTCCAAATTGTCAACAAGTTAAAGTTGAGCTCAAAAATCCGATGATTGGATTAAGATATTAGCATTCCTACTTGGAAGTGGGAATATTTGAATATGGACTTCATTACTGTTTTACCTCGTACTTGTCGTTAGTTTGACTCGATTTGGGTTATTATGGACCGAATGACGAAATCAACTCAATTTCTTCTCGTAAAGACTTCAGTTTCATACGAGGATTACGCTAAGATTTATATTCAAGAAATGGTAAGGTTGCATGTAGTGCCTTTATCCATCATCTCTTATCGTGGTACTCAGCTTACATCTCAGTTTTGGAGGTCGTTTCAAAAAGGTTTTGGTACACAAGTGAAGCTTAGCACAACTTGTCATCCTCAGATCGATGGACAATCCAAGCGTACTATTCAGACCTTGGAAGACATGATGAGAGCTTGTGTGGTTGATTTCAAGGGTGATTGGGATGACCATCTGCCTTTGATTGAGTTTGCTTATAATAATAATTATCATTCTAGCATTTGAGATGGCACTGTTTGAAGCTCTCTATGGTAGGAGGTGTAGATCATCTATTGGTTGGCTTAAAGTTCTCTATGGTAGGAGGTGTAGATATCCTTAACATTTGAAATAGTCACACAAACTTAAAAAAAATGGATCATCTTTTACAAATTAACTAAAAAACTCTCCCAGGAAACTAGTCTAAATAGGTACAAGAGTGACTAAGGAGATACAATGTACAAAAGAAAATATGACGCAACTTCTACCATAATGAAAGATGAGTAGAAGTTGTCAGAGATCACCATCACTTTCACCTATGAAACATCACTAAATCTCGCAACCAAAGTATGCCAAGTGGCATAGCTAGAGTAGTATTAGTAAAAACAAAACATACTAGTAGGTATCATCGGTCGACCCAAACCTACCACATAATAACATGCAGAATAATCAAAGAAACATGCAACCTGAGGGCTGGATTAGGATTTCATATACTCTAACCCAATTCACATCACTTCTTCCACTGCCTACTAGAATATTTGAACATTCATCCCTCATAAAACTCTCATACAAGATCATAGTCTAACTCTTCTATCACATAAAGATTCCCTCAAATACAAGGCTACTAACCCTTGTAACTCCTTACACACCCCCATTATACGACATATAAACAAGTAGACCCGAACTTTCAGAATTTCCCAATCATCACACACAACATTTAACATGTCTTTTCAGTCCACACAAGGAGTCATCCTAGCCTTCAAACATACTAACCTGATCCTTCAGGGACCAACACACATAACTACACATGTATTAGCATGGTTCCCAATCTAATAAATTACGTAACTATATGTGTATGTGTAAGCGTGGCACCTGATCCCCTAATACTACACATACAAGGCAACACAACCACCAAGGATCCAAATCACGCGTGTATATTTATGAAACGCATGCATTGCATACGATTGACATTATCTTACACTCCACATTATGCCTTTTAAACTTCCCTAATTAATCATGTATCATGTATGCATTACTAATGAATCGGTTAACAAGAACATATAACATATACAAGGAAACCACATTCATCACCTACCCGAGAGGCTTTCTCCCCCAAATGTTCCCTGATCACAGTCCGATTACGCACGACCATCTTCCCTAGAATGACACCAACAATATCATAAGCCAACCACAATTAATCAGTTTCACCATCAGCCTAACCGCATGTAACCATAAGTTCAATCATTTTGACTCTATGTTTGAAGTCATATGCATGCGATCTCCCGACAACTACAAGATAGTATGCAATTGGAAATAGGTTTAACTATTGAGTTAAGAAACCTAGCCTACCTAGGCGGCAAGAAGCTATTGAAGAACTATGAATGCAACCTCTTGCTCGCAGGGGTAAATCTTGATGAACGTTGGACGGGAATCATTGGGTTCAAACCGTCCTTGCGCTAGAAATTCTCCCTTCCATCGTATTCAAGCTTAGAGTGACTTGGGGAAATTTTTGGAGTAATCCTCGTCTATTTTATCCAGATAAAGTGAGAAGAAAAATAAAAGATATCATTTTATCTAGAGCCTGATTTCATCAGTCCCGATATAGCGGTTCTGCAGGCACTATAGCACGGCCGCCAAAGCGGGAGATATCCCGTTATGACGGGCTGACATCAGCCCGGATCAATTTAAGCTTTAAGTAATTCTGTTGTGTGCTCCAAAATTTTAATTGGGCACTGAAATTTAAGACTTTTTTGGAGCTTCACACGAGGTGCATTTAATAACAACGGATCAAGTCGTTACAAAAATAGAGAAAAAAATTGTGGTGTGGTCAAAAACTTTTGCATGTTTAATATTTTTTATTAAATAAATATTGTTGGGATTTAATCAATATTGATTATTGAAACAAGTATTTCTCACGAGTCATCTATTTTCATAATATTCATCTGGATGATTAATATCCTATTCATAATGATTAAAAATAGTATTTTAAAATACATATTGCACAGAAAATTAATTTATTATAAAGGGCCTTAAAACATCCCCGGCCTATTGGTTATAACATTTTTTTGGCTCTTGAAGTGTACAAATTCCTTCCCTATAAATAGTTTAGGTATTTTTCTTTTGTTGTTATTTGGTTCATTTGAATTTTGAATTCTTTCTAGTTTTTTAACTAAAATAAAGAAGGATCTTACTGTCATGTCAAGAACTCTTGCGTGTTTAACACTTTTCTGAAAAATATTATTGTTGTGATTTAGCCTAAATTAATTATGAAAACTAGATATTCCTCCCAAGTCATTTGTTTATATAATATTCATCTGATATCAGTAATATCCTATTCTAAATAATTGTTATAAAAAGTATCTAAACAATGTATAACACAAGAAATTAGTACGCTATATATAGGGACTAGTAACATGCCAAGCATAACCATCATAACATTTCTTTTGTCCCTGCAATGACCCAAAAGATCATTTTTGGGAATATTTTCAAAATTACTGTTTTACCCATCCCAATAGTTGCCCCAGTCATTTTTATCAGTTTATGAAGTTAATTTGAGAATTTTGAACTATTCATTTAATTATAGTTAATTAATTGATGGATAATTTTTAGATAATTAATTTAGTTTGTGACTAATGAGCTAAGTCAATAATTTATTTAATATATATATTACTTGATCCATATATATTAAAGTAAGTTAATAGGGTTTATCACTTTTAATACATAATTATTTTAGAAAAGAAAGGGAGGAAGAAATTACCTGAACAAAATGGCGTGGGAACAAACAAGTTCACGTTCTGGTAAGAGACTTACCTTTAGATCCATAATTAGTTATGAGTAATAATTTATATCTATATATATGAGAGAGTCGTAATATTTTAATAATAAAATTAGATGAATATGAATTGGGGGAGACAAACTTCCAACGACCATCATTGCCTAATGATAGCAAGTAATTGGATATGGCCCTTGGACGATTAGAAGAAAATAGAAGGAATGAATTGATAATTTTGTAATTTTGCAGCGATTAACTTCTTATCTCATATTCTGTTTTGACAGTCCTTTTTTTCAGATCCTTCTTACAATTATCACATTATGATTCAAGTTTTGATAACTTGGTATAGATAATTAAATAGTAGGTGTATTGTATCATATGAATATCATTAGAATAATGTTATTTGGAGGAATTATGACTTAATCCTAGGTTTGAGGTCTAGGAAATTGATTATATATTTGGGTGAGTTTGTGGGTTTAGACTAGACACATAGCAATATGAGTGTTGTTAGTTTCGAAAGCTTATTGTGATTATTTATTTGAATAGATTGCATTGATTTGGAAGCCCAACAAAAAGGGAATACTCAAGTCCCAAAGTGATTGTTCAATTGTTTGAGGCAAGTGAATTTATCAACCCTTGTTACGTGTATAGAATCGTGTATTTCCTTGTGGTATGTGTTGGAGAGTAATGAGACTTGGTGATGGGTTGACTTGTCCATATTGAATAATTTTAATAATAAAAATGGGGTAATAAAAGGCAATTTGATTAATTATTGGTGTGTGATATGTTGAGAATTGATTCATTGTTGATGTTGTATCACGATGGTGTTGTTGTGAATTGTGCATTGTTATGAAAATGGTCATCTCCTCATTATTTCTGTGAACATGTCCTTTGCATTGGTTCTGAGACATAATTGTGACAAGTGTTATGTGAATTGAGAAAGAATAAGGAATTAAAGTGGATGTACCATATTGAGGAATGTGTCGCGCACCGCGATGGATATTATGATTCGAGGGACATGTCGCACGTTGTGATGAATTTTATTATGGATGGACGTGTGGCACG